GTAGATTCACATCGCGAGGCCACTACTTGACACATTCTCTCCTACATTCAGGCCACTTCCCACTGCACTACTGGCACACAGCAACTTTAAAACTAGCATAGCCAACCACAACGGGATCAGCCCACCGTGTGAGAATCCTCTGGTGGGACAGTGCATAATGGCTCTGACCCTACCCCCATCTCTACAGTCGGGGTAAGAGGCATGACAAGGGGAATTAGGTGTGTCTGCACCCAGTGATCCGAGGCTGCCGCTCAGGGTCATTGGCAAACAGCGTAATTTAGAGCAGCCAGGGGTCCATTCTAGTGCTCAGCAGCTCTGAATTATGGGAGAACAAAGACAGCTTAAATTAAGACACCTTTGCATGCCTCCCAAGCTGCACTACTCCCCCTTTGGCTGCAGTCAATGACTACTTTTATGCTATTTGTGTGAACTAAAAATGAGATACTAGTTGATTTAGACACCACACCAAAAATAATCACAGAAATATAGGACTGGAAGGGACCTTGATAGGTCATCTAGTCCAGTTCCCTGCACTGAGGCAAGACTAAGTATTATATAGACCAGTGGTTCTCAAACTTATTTGATTGGGCCCCCCTTCTTTGTGTCTGTACTTGTTTATACCCCTCCCCCCAAGTACATATACCAACACCAAGCTCTCAAGACAGAGCAGAGAGAAGCGGCTGCTGGCCAGGCGCCCAGCTCTGAAGGCAGGCATGCGCCAGCAGCAGCTCATAAGTAAGGGAGGCAATGTGAAAAGTGATATTTGTCAATATCATTTTTCACAGCAGGCTTCACGCCCCATGGCCACCCTTGCTTCTGAGCTGCTAGTGCCACTCCCAGGGCCGCCAAGAGCGGGTTCAGGCCCCGGTGAAAAAAAATTTTCGGGGCCCCTCAGCAAGGGCGGACCAGCTAAACAGGACCAACGGGGGGGGGGGGGAAGGAGCCGGGCCCTGGTAATTTGTACCGGCTTCCCCGCCTCTCGTCGGCCCTGGCCACCCCAGAGGTGACAGCCAGAGCCCTGCTACCTCCAGGTGAGGGATTGGGGTCGGGCTGAGAGAAGAGCCCAAGTCTGGGTGCCAGGGCTCCAGCTGTCAGCTCCAGTGCGGCAGGGCTCCGGCTATCCTCTTTATCCCCACCTCCTGGTTATGCATGGCCCTTCTGCATAAGCCCCAGCCACCCAGGGCTGATAGTCAGAGGTCTTAAAAAAAAAAATGTAAAAAAAATAACAAGCATACAGCTCGCACGTCCCTTGGAAGGCCCGCCCCATAGTTTGAGAACCTATCCATCTAGGATATCTAGACCATCCTTGACAGGTGTTTGTCTAACCTGTTCTTAAATACCTCCAATAACAGAGATTCCACAACCTCCCAAGGTAATTTGTTCCAGTGCTTAACTACTCTTACAGTGAGGAAGTTTTTCCTAATGTCTAACCTGAAACTGCCTTGCTGCAATTTAAGCCCATTGCTTCTTGTCTTACCCTCAGTGGTTAAGGAGAACCTCCTCTTTATAGCAACCTCCTCTTTATCACCCTCCTCTTTATAGCAACCTTTTACGTACTTGAAGACTATTGTAATGTGTGTCATCCCCCCCAAGTCTTCTCTTCGCCAGAATAAATCAACCCATTTTTTCCCCAGCTTTCTTCAGAGGTCATGTTTTCTAGACCTTTAATCATTTTTGTTGCTCTCCTTTGGACTTTCTCCCATCTTTCCTGAAGTGTGGTGCCCAGAACTGGACACAGTACGCCAGCTGAGGCCTTTATCAGGGCTGAGTAGAGCAGAATTACTACTTCTCCTATCTTGCTTACAACACTCCTGCTAACACATCCCAGAATGACGTTTGCTTTTTTAGCAACAGTATTACATTGTTGACTCCTATTTAGTTTGTGATCCATTTTAACCCCCAGATCTTTTTCTGCAGTACTCCTTCCTAGGCAGTCATTTCCCATTTTGTATTTGTGCAAAATCAAATTGCAATCAATTAGTACTTTGCATTTGTCCTTATTGAATTTCATCCCATTTATTTCAGACTATTTCTCCAGTTTGTCAAGATAATTTTGTATTCTAATTCTGTCCTCCAAAGTGCTTGCAACACCTCCCAATTTGGTATCATCTGCAAACTTTGTTAAGTGTACTTTCTATGCCATTATACAAATTATTTATGAAGATATTGAATAGAACCGGACCCAGACAGATCCCTACAGCAATGGTTCTCAAGCAGGGGTACGTGTACACCTCGGGATACTCAGAGGCCTTCCAGGGGGTACATCAACTCATCCAGTTATTTGTCTAGTTTTACAACAGGCTACATAAAAAGCGCTAGCAAATTCAGTACAAACTAAAATTTAATACAGACAATGACTTATTTATGCTGCTATATATATATATACACATTGAAATGTAAGTACAATATTTATATTCCAATTGATTTATTTTATAATTATATGGTAAAAATGAGAAAGTAAGCAATTTTGCAGTAATAGTGTGCTGTGACACTTCTGTATTTTTATGTCAGATTTTGTAAGCAAGTAGTTTTTAAGTGAGGTGAAACTTGGGGGTACAGGAGACAAATCAGATTCTTGAAAGGGGTACAGTAGTCTGGAAAGATTGAGAGTCACTGCTCTACACGACCCCACTGGATATGCCCTTCCAGCTTGACTGTGAACTATTAATAACTGCTCTCAGAGTACAGTTTTCCAACCAGTTATGCACCCACTTTATAGTAGGTTCATCTAGTCTATATTTCCCTAGTTTGTTTATGAGAAGATCATATGAGACAGTATCAAAAACCTTACTAAAGTCAAGATATCTCATATCTACTGCTTCCCCCCATGAAGAAGCCTTGTTATCCTGTCAAAGAAAGCTATCAGGTTGGTCTGACATGATTTGTTCTTGACAAATTCATGTTGACTGTTAGTTATTATCTTCTAGGTTTTTACAAACTGATTATTTACTCCACTGTCTTTCTGGGTACCAAAGTTAAGCTGACAGGTCTACAATTCCCTGAGGTTGTCCTTATTCCCCTTTTTATAAAAGGGCAAATATAGTACCCTTTCCCAGTCCTCTGGGATCTCTCCTGTTCTCCATGAGCTCTCAAAGATAATTGCTAACGGCTTAGAGATCTCTTCAGCCAGTTCCTTAAGAATTCTAGGATGTATTTTATCAGGTCCTACTTACTTAAAGGCATCCAATGTGCTTAAGTAACTCTTAATTTGTTGTTTCCCTATTGTAGCCTCAGATCCTACTCCATTAACACTGATGTTCACTATGTCAGTTGTCCAATCACTGCTAACCTTTTTGGTGAAAACAAAAAAAAGCATTCAACCCTTGGTCATTGCTGCATTTTCTGTTATTGTCTTTCCCTCCTTATTGATTAATGGACCTACCCTGTCCTTGGTCTTCTTCTCGCCTCTAACATCTTTGTAAAATGTTTTCGGCATTTATGCACCAAGCTAGTTTAATCACGTTTTGTGTCTTGGCCTTTCTAATTTTGTCCCAACGTGCTTGTGTTGTTTTTATGCATTGTGCCAAAGATATAAAATGTCAATTTGAATGAAAAATATTAAAGTGCGGAGAACAATGGCAAAGAGTTCCAAGAAGATCAGTAAATAATTTTTAAGGCAAAACAACCTGATGCCAAAAAGAAAATTGGATAGTAATACCAGGAGATGATAAGGTCAGCAATACAAAGTATAACATGCTATCTCAACACGTTTTCCATCAACAAGAGAATGACAGGATTTAGCAGCAAGAGATGACGGACAGACTTCTTTTGTCTAGCCTCCTAATCATCACTGCTCAGCTATCATCATCTGCTTTCCGACCTCATGCCTCAGCCTTAAGGGGATGTTGTCTGGTGGTATATTTTTTAATAAACATTTTACCTGTTGTAGAGGTAAACAACATTAAAAGTAATTTACTTTTCTACCAGATGTGCTTTTTTTTTAGTCTAGATCTCTCAGTGTGGCACTGAAAGCAGACAAGTCAATTTTAATTTTATTTATTTTCAGTCAATTCAATTGCAGGTTCATGCTGTAGCATCTGAGTTTCAGAAGCTACTGAGAAATCTTTGTTAGTTTTCAAACATTATCTATAGGGACACTAGGAACACACATTATCTAAAGAAACACTACTATAATTTTGCAGTTTTGTAAAACACAATGCAGAGCAGTTTTGTAAAGCACAATGGTACTAGATAAGTAGGTAGACAGGCAGAAAGAATCTTTACTTATACAGCACAATTTCAGTTTAGTGTCTGTCAGACAAACTGCATCCCAAATTACTTTGCAGAGCTAAATAATATATTTACAGAGATAAAATTAAAGCAGAGGGAGAGAGAAATTAGGAGATAGAGGCCTGAGGTAGACTGAGGCAAGGAGGTACAAGAAAGCTAACACTCATAACTAACTCTGATCCCCTAGGTGTCAGAAAGTAATTCTACCAATTCCATGCCACTTTCTTTTGTCACGTGTGTTACAAGACATCCTCATATACTGTAGGGAAACAGACAAGTGATGCCAATGGCCTGGATTGACCCCACAAGCCCCTTCCAGGTCTGCTCACTTATTAGTCAGACCTCTCTCTCCTTGTAGGCAGCCTTGTTGTAGCCCTGTTGGTCCTAGGATGTTAGAAAAACAAGGTGCGTAATATCTTTTATTGGAGCAACCAGAAGCACTCTGTGTAGCTCCAAAGCTGGTCTCTTCCACCAACAGAAGTTGATCCCATAAAAGACATTAGCTCTATACATCCCTCTAGTTAGTTTCATTACAAAAGGAGGGGCTAGAGTTCACAGCTGTGACTCTTTAGAGATGAAGAGCCAAGTCCAGCAGCCCCCAGTAGGCTAAACTCCCTGGGATGTGATCGCACCCCTACCCCCCGCTCCAGATGTCTCCTGCCAAGGGGAAGGGTGTGGCGTGGGCAGCACGCGTAGATGCCAGGATGCCCCCAGAGGCGCCGGGGCAGGCGGTGCAGGGGGCAGAGGCGGCGGCTGGGGACCCGACTCACCTATTCGGCTGAAACTCTCCGACAAAGTTCTCCGCAACTTTTTCATCCTGCTGCTTTTCTCGGCGGACTGCGCGTCCAGCATAGCACAGCTCGGCGGCGCCGGCCGAGCGCAGGGGGAGGGAGGAGCCCGATCGCCCGGCGCCCCCCGGCTCCCCCCGCCGCGGGACCCCCTTCCCCACCGCCGCTCACACCGCCGGGGAGGGAGCGCGACGTAGTGCCCAGGGCTGGCTCATCGCCTCCCGTCGGGGCTCCGGAGCCAGCCCTGGCGGGGCGCAGCCGGGGAGGGCAGCTCGGAGCGGCTGGGGGTGCCCCGAGGCGCGCGGGGGAAGGGGGCAGCCCTGCCCGGGTGCCGCCGGCTGCTCGGACCCGCCCCGGTTAGCGCAGCAGCAGCGGCCGCGTCCCCGCCAGCTCCGAGCCGAGCGGCAACTCCAGCAGCCTCCGCTGTGCCGCCCTCCCCCGCCTGCCCACCCCGCGCTCCCGCCCCGCTCCGCCCCTGCCCCCGCTCGCCTCGCTGATTGGCCGGGAGAGCGCCGTGGCTGGGGCCCGGTGGCCTTCGGGGGCGAGTGCTGGCCGGCAAGGGCGGGGCTGGGGTCCAGGCTGCTGGGTGCGGGGGGGCGTTGGTGGGACCAGCCTGCTGCGTGTGGAAGAGGGGGGGTTGGTGGGACCAGGCTGTGGAGGGGGGTGCAGGCTGATGGCTGCAACCAAGGGGGTGGGGTTAGTCGGTCCAGGCTGCTGGATGCAAGGGGGGCTGGTGGGTCCAGTCTGGGGGGGGCGGTCCAGGGTGCAGAAGGTGGGGGGGTGGGGGTCCAGGCTGATGGGTGCAGGGGGGCGGTTGGTGGGGCCAGGCTGATGGCTGCGGGGGGGGGGGGGGGGTGTGATCAGGGTGCTGGGTGCAAGGGGTGGGGGGGTTGGTGGGTCCAGGAGTGTGGTTGCATCAAGGAGCTGGTGCTGAGGAGAGAGGCTAGTGGATTTAAGAGACCTTACATAGGACTGTGGCTCTTCTCACCCCAAAGGCTGTGGACAAAAGAGGATGGAAGGGGCCCTCTGGTCTGCCGGCTGTTTGTGTTGATCTTCCTTCCAGTGACTTTTAACAGGGCAGACCATAAGGGAGATCCCACTTTTACCACAGCTCATGCCATCAAAGATTAAGAACATCACTGATTTGTACATTAAACCCAAGGCAAAACAATTTGTAGATCTCCAGCTACTAATTATTATTGTGGGGTGCCCGTCACTGTCGCATGAATGTATTCTGTAGGGATTGAATGGGCAACAAATACCGATTACTCATTAGGATTACTATACACCGCACCACCCTACTGCACTGTGATCTAGAGCACATACACAAAGCAGACTTAAGCCAGGGGAGGGTGAATGCCAAGCAGTCAAGAGTTCACTTCAAACAGCAGTGGTTTGCAATGTTTACACAAGAGAGGAGGCTGAGGCTTAGATGGAATAAATTCTAGAGTGAGATCTCACCACCCAGTATGCCTTGTCTTCAACTCCTACCAGCTGCACCCTTGGGACAGTTAACTTAGGCATTCTGGAGAAATGCAATTGGTGTAGTCAAAGATGGAGAACAGTGTCTTGTAGACCTTGTCTAGAGTAGGTTTAAAGGCGTAATGTTATCTAACACCTATTTGCTAATGGTTTAAAAGGATAGTATGGACAAGGCACACTGACTCTTGAAGTCCAAACATGGCTCCCCCTCCGCCCCAAGATTTTAAAACACAGCCAGATAACACAGCTTCAAATGTGTTAGTCTAAACCTCAATGAGTGTTGAGAGTTTCTTGATCATGTTAAGATAACTCAGTTGAGCTAAGATGATGATATCTTTTGGCCAATCAAGACTGGGCCTTAGGGTATTTCTAGGCGAGAATAAGAGGTGAGTATTTTAAAAACACACACAAAACATGTTAGCTAACACAGGTTAACACTTTTTTAAACCCTAGTGTAGACAGGGCAAGTTGTATTTTAACACACATTGTCTGGTCAAGGTGAACCACCTGACACCTGGGTTATAACAGGGCTAACTAGCATAATTTTACAGGTATTAAATTGTGTCCACTCCATCTGTGAAAGAATGTTTCAAATCATGTTAGCTAACTCAATTTAAAAAGCACTGGACACTTGGGCCTAGATCATCTGCAACTGTCAAGTCTTTGGGGTAGGAACTGTCTTTTGCAACGGGCACATACACTACAGGTGTCCAGTATATGGCCTATCAGTCAGAGCTGACCCACATGATGTATTTGTATGGCCCTATGGCATATACAGATTGTGGAGAATATTAACTTTCCTTTTAAAAAGTACACTTCTTTAGCTCTCGTGATTGTGAAGAAACCCTTCCACATGTGAACCAAGAGTAAACAACTTATGCAGTGTTGCCTTTCTGAGGGCTTATCTACACAGGGAAATTTACTACACCAATAATAATTATACCAGTAATTATAACAGCGGCCTTTTTTTTTCCAGTTTAGCTTATGGAAGCAACATAAACTAAACAAAAACATGCCCACTGTTATTCCAAAACAGACTCGACACATGGGAAGTTGTACAGGTATAACTACAGCACCATAAGTATACTAGTAATGCCAATCAATTTCTGCAGACAGCCTGAAACAATAGGTCTCAAAGGCATGAATTCTGTTGTCCCTGTTAATTTCATTGGAGTGCTAACTAAAATAGCACTTCAATGTCAGTGATTTAATTGCTGGTCATATTAGCAGATGGAATGGGGATGGAAACTGGGAAATGTTGCAGAGAGGAAGAGAGATACAAAGACAAGGAAAAGGGACAGAAACAGAGATGTGAGCATGGGGTAGGAAGAGGGAGAAAGGGTGCAAATAGGAGTAGGCCAAGGTGGCCATACTTTCCACTGAGTGATAATGAATGTGACAGTAAAGTACTCAATAAATAATAGTAACTAGAAGTTTAGTTACTAGATAAATGCCAGATTTTACCCTTGATCTCTATTCAAACTTCCCATTGATATCAATAAGCATTCTTGCTCTGGATGGAGGGAAGTACAGAAATGTATACTATTATCCATGGACCATAACCAAAAGTAGAATTTGACCCTTTCCATATAATGAGTTTGACACCTGGTGCACTGAGCTCCTAGCACCTGATTGAGGTCTTCAGGTGCTAATGTAATGCAATGTATGGTTTTGTGTATTGCAAGTAGCCATTCAGTTTCACCCAGAGATGGATGAGCGGCAGTGAAGAGGAAAGAGCACAGAGGCAGGATATAAACATGCTCATTAGACCCGTGCAATTGCATTCTACACTAGCTCTATCTTCAAATGGCCCTGCACAACTAAACCCAGGTAGAGCACATTGCAGTAGTGTATCCTGTAGGTGTCTAAGTCACATGTGACATAGTCAAGTTACAGTCTATCTGGGAATCATTCTAGTTTTCATCTTGGCCACATTTTTATTTGAACTGACTTTTAAAAAAGAAATTCTGAGGCATTAGCCTCTCCTTTTGAACAGTGTCTGCAGCAGGACTTAAAAGTGTGCCAATTTATACATTGACATTTCCAGTGTCTTTTACTCTTGTTACTAATAAAAGACCTTGTGCCAAAGTTGTCCAAATGTCTGTCAGGCTCGTTGGGGGGAGGAGAGAGAGGCTTTGTTGTTTTTTGAGGCATATGATCAGAAACGTTAATAATCCCGAGTCAGCTGGCTGAACAGAAAGACCACGAGAGAGTGACTGTAATGCTTTGTTTACCTGAAACTTGAGGGATCGTGTGTGATCTATTGTCTTGTGCTTAAAGACTTAGTTTGGGACAAAACAATTGACGCAAGAGACTAGTTGCTCTTACAAAGCACTGAACTGCGTTAGGAAAGGGACAGAAAAACTGAAAAGTTCCAGGAACAGAAGGAAAAAGCGCGATGTTAGCTTATAGTTCTGTTTATCTTGCATCGACTGCTCCGGGCTTTGCATCCTGCAGTCCCTAGTCAGGTAACCCCCCGTTGTTTTAAATCAATGGGAGTTCTGCCTGACTCCTAGGGCCGGTAGCATGGTGCCAATGAAAGTAGACAGGTCTAGACACCCTGAAGAATCCACCGGCAGCGTTCCACAGACACCGATGAAAGAGCAGCTGGAAGCGGTGCAGTAATCTGTAAAGCACGCACGGTAACGTTTGGTCTTCCTCACTTCCTTGGTGGTTTTTGCTGGAAGGAAAGACAAGTGGAACTGTTTAGTGCCTTTGTCTGTGTGTCTCCCCGCTCTCCTCCCCCCGCCTACTGTTTCCGAGAGCACCAGAGCTGAAGAAAACTCATTAAGCTCTGAAACCTGCAAGCACCTTCTTGACTTTGATGATGTCAATACTCCCCCACCCCCATTTCTATGGCCCAGCTCGGGAAACCCATAAAGCGGAAGTGTGAAATTAACAAACCGCAGAGCTGCAGCTATTACACCGGTGACAGTTTATTTTCCTGTAGCGCCTGGGCTCTCTGCTCAGCTTTGCATATTTAAACATAGGGATTTACAGCCCCGAAGAAGTTACCGATGTGCACTCAGTGCTAAAGAGCATCAGCATTGTTACACGTACAGTAAATCCCAGCATTTGCCTTTGCGCCCTGTATCCAAAAGCGTCTACACCGTTTTAACTTGTTTAAAGCACAACGCCCAGAGTCAACCTCCTGAAGACAGAACAGGAGGAAAAAGCAGGTAGAAAAATAGTCCTTATCCCAAGCAGTTTCTTGGCCAGCTCTGAGGGAAGAATTCACCTGAACTCAGCCCCCGCAGTTGCGTGACTCCGAATCATTCTGCAAACTGGAGGGTTATCCAGCGCGGTGAGAAATCAGTCCTTTGGCCAAACCATCCCGGGATTTGTGTTGTAGGGCTGGAGACTGGGAAATGCCAGCCTGCCTGCTGTGCGCTGAAGTAAGAAATCAGTCGTGTTATTTATGAGGGGAAATAACTGGGGTCTTCAGTTGGTTTATTTTAGTATGACCGATTTGATGGGGATTGTGGGATTGATATAAACCATCTCCAGACCAGTACTGGGCATGGTGGGGTCAGTATCCCATATCTCACATCTGCAGGACAGTGCAGACACTATTCCTTACTAGTAGGGAAAGATAGTAGGGAAAGAGGGAGATGATGAACACCTAATCTCC